TTGATGGAAGTTGGAGGAATCGTTAGTAAATACTTATAAGCTTCGAGGACACGGGGAGGATGGAAGAAAACAGTCCGGTCGACACAGATCGAGATTGTAGGAGTAAAGGCTACAATCCCGATTGTTTCGATCATTGTAAGCATGTCTTTCTAAAAATAAACACGTTAATTTTGTAAATTCGGTCTCTGTGTGAGTCTCTCAGCGTCCAGCAAACCACTACCCTGAAAGGTAAAAAGACTTTTTCACATCATCCTGACAGATTGCGGGCAAGGCGAGGGTCATAACCTTTTCACCTAAGGTCGACCCCCTAAGCGAGAGGCGTCGGGTCTATATTAACTACACTGGCAAAACAAGATGGCTGACACATTTACAGGTAAAACGCACTGAGTAGTGCTCTTGACTGCACCAGAAAATCGATTGGTGCCCGCAAAAATTCAAAAATACAAAAATGAAGTATATTACCAAGTAACCCAGTGAGAACTGCTTGCCTATCATTTTAGTTGAAAATACAAGAAGTTTTATTCCAAGCAAGCATTGCAAGCCCACTAGGTTAATTTCTGCTGCTTGCTTGGAATAAAATTTCTTGTATTTTATATTAAAATGATAGGTAAGCAATTCTGTTAAAAGCACTGGCACTGAACGTTTCGCTTCGTGCAGTCTATTTTGCAACTTTTTTTAAAATGATGTCAATCCCGAAAATCTCGGGATTAGGAAAACTTAATCCCGAAAATTTTGGGACTGAAAAGTTGTCGAGATCCCGGGATCAAATCCTCTAGTCACGAGTGACCAATGGCGTCATTGTAGACTTGTGCATTATCCATATGTTCTTACTTTAGAGTTTTATTGAAGAAGGCTTTCCATGCTGTTGATATCTTCATTTCTTGTTTGAAGTTAATACAGTGCTTATTCCTGAGGGTGTTAAGGCAAATGTATATGGCTTCTAGCCACCTGAAGTGTTCTGTGCGGAATGTGGTGTGAATAATTCTGGCTAGAGGGAATAACTGTTCTATTTCTGGGTTGGAGGAGTATACCACTAAGGCAGTGTTGTTTCTATGATGTAGGGTGTCCGCTTTGTGTTCCTTGATCCTAGTTACTAAGTTGCATTTAGTGGACCCGATGTAGATTACTTTGCTGTTGTCTTTATGATCAATGATGGGCATGGAGTATACTCCCAGAAGTTGCTGTCTGGAGCATCTTTTCCATTCCATCAACAATAACCCTTATGGATTAACGGTGGAAATAGACCAAGCCCACCCCATTAACTATAACACTTTATAACTATACTAGCTTACCCGTCGCGCATTGCTGCGATCTCAGAAGAAAGGAAATTTAAGCAAACTCGTCATGACAAAATTCAATTTACATTTTATAATTTTTATTAAAACTTATTATTATTACATTATTATTTCAAGTCGATATTAAAATTTGGAAAAGGGGGGATACCTAGATCGATAAAATACGCGAATTTCCTCCTACAACTTCGGTTGTTGTTCGGGGGTACAGTTGAGGTTTTAACGAAGTTCGAGCGAATACATAATTAGCAAAAAAGAAAGTTGAAATAAAGTGATTAAACAAAAATTATTACAAATATCGTAAATAACAGTTCACAAANACATATACATAAAATCTAAAATAAAAAAAGTTACTATGCAACTCCTATAAATATTTTCAAATGCTTCATTGGAATACAAATGAAAAAATTAACACACATTAATATTACAAATATCTTTACATAATCTCAAAATTTTTTCAATTAACAAGATTAGAGAAATTTCAGTCTGAAAACTATAACTTAATTTAATTTAACACCAATAAATAATTGCTCTTTATTCATTCATTTTGGATTCTTTTAGATTTATTGAATATAATGAATGAAATAAAGAATTTATTTAGCAATAGTTTTATCTAAGTCTATAATTCATACAATATGTAATAATCATGAGAAAATAAAAATGCTGAAAATTATAATGTGAAAAGTTAACAACGTAACAAGAAAATTAATGAAATTGCTTATTCAGTAGAATGACTACCATGATGAGACATGCCATTAGTAATAAAAATAGTGCAACATATGTATAAACATATGTTATTTACAAACACATGACTTGTTTTAATCATATTTTCTTTAATTACTGAACTTCAATAATGTATTTTTTATGATATCAGTAAATTACAAAACATTATTTAATATTTTTATCTAACAAAGTTGCTAGTTTAATTTTCTAAATGTATACACATCAAACATCTTGTTACCAGAAAAAGTTTTACTATAACAAATACTTTGGTCTAATTTAGACCATCTTCAGGTTCTCTTTCTTTTTAGAATACATTATAGAAATTGTTATATCATGGAATGGATATTTGAAAATGTGTTCCATTGTACATAGAACATTGTTTAAAATGTAAAATGAAATCAAAATCATCAAACTAATGAGAGACTAAATTAGCCAAAACAATGGAAAAGAGTGAAATATATAATACAATTTTCATAGGTCACTCGTTTAACATCAGAGACCAGGAAATATTCCCTAACACAGTGGTTCTCAACCCATGTTCTGCAAACTTGCCCCAAGTGTTCCATATACAAATTTTTATTCCAAATTTATTCCAATGTACTGCAACAAATTACTTTATTCATAGGCAATTCCATGTTTACTATTTTATTCAATACAATAAAATTTATTATTTTATTGCTTTATTGTTTTGTGAGGCATTAAATTAAATTACTTAAGCATGAAATTGCTTATCAATTTTTGAATATATTGATGACAATGCTCCATGTAATAAAAAGTATATGAATGGTATTATGAGGCCTCAGAAAGATTGAGGATGTATATCTATCACAGGTTCAGTCAAATTCACAATGAGGGCAGCCAGATGGTGTGGGATGAACCCCAACATATCTATGAAAATGATGCTGTGGAACATTGTAGCAAAGAAGGGAAGGACCACTATAAAACAAAAACTCTAAAAGGACTTTTTACAGAAAGTTTAAAACAATAACATGCAATAATAGAAACAAAATGTTTTGTTTCTATTACTTTTTATCATATAACTTCAATGTGAGACAAACTATTCACATTAAAACATAGCTTATGATAATATACATTTTTATTCTTAAAATTATTGTATGTATTAGAAGTATAATAAATGATGAAAGGATTGTTGTTCTTATACAGAATTAAATTTACTAAGCTATAAAAAATTTAAAAGTGCTACCATATAAATCTTTAATTTTCATAATTTTTATTCTGAAATGCCCATGGCAATCTATTTTATCTAAGTTTTCAGTTATCTGATAGAGCATTGATTCACATTACATCAGATATTCAGGGTTCTACTGTATATAATTCAAACTCTAATCAATTTTTTAATTTCTAAATATATTTCTTAAAAAATTCAACCTTACCGATTAACTTTTCTTGGACATTTATCAGGAGTAATTGTAACATCATAATGATGTAAGTAGCCTCTTGGCATAGAAATTTGGAAATGATTAGCTCTTAATATAATAACACGTCCTTCTGTACCAATATTTGGACGTCTTGGACAAATAAATACAGGCAACTCAGGCATTTGAGGTGCTCCTTGTGATACTGATGAACCAGGTTGAACTGCAGAAGCTCCACCAGTTGATGTAAGAGAAGTTTCTGAAGGACCAGGTTGAGACATTGTGCCAGGTACTCCACGAGGTGGTTGTGATCCAGGAGGTCCTGGAGGACCAGAACGACCAGGTGGTCCTGGAGCTAAAATAATATATATTTAAATTCTCATTACATATCAATCATAAATTATATTAATTAATTATTAATTTAATAGTAAATAACTTCATTTATAGCATGTTTGAGTAATAAATGTGTGAAAAAATCTCAAGTATATATCCTTACTTATAAACTCTGTTCATTCAAAAGCAAAAAGAAAAACAAGATCAAGATATAAGTTGTTCATCTAAATTGTTATTCAGAAATCAAATAATTATAATTCAAAAATATTTTTGAAGATTTCATATCTTTTAATCTTTTCTTTATTATAAATATAAACATTTACACTTTAAAAAAATTATATATCAAACAGAATTGAATAGAATCTATCTTAATGACTTGTGAGCACTAAGATTGGCCTTACTTTACCGCTAGACTTATTACACAACCACAGGACCACAAATTAGACTTAGAAAAACACTGTTTTATTTTCAGAATGCATTTCAGACCTGGAATCAGCTTTTTTGATTTAATATGTCGATTCGATGTTTAGAACATTAAAAGATTAAACATGCCATAAGACAGAAAAAAATTTTCATAAAATAGGGTAGTGCTGATACAATAAAACAGAATAATAAACTAAGGTACTGGTAAAACAGTAAAGTAGTAAAATTATACATTGTTAAAGCAAAATAATTAAATTCACATTAAAACAAATAAAGTAACAAAATGATTTGAATCTTTTTCTGTTTTATTGTATGTTTAATCTTTTAAACATCGAATCGACATATTAAATCAAAAAAACTGATGAGGGACTCCAGGTCTGAAATGCATTCTGAAAATAAAATAGTGTTTTTCTAAGTCTAATTTGTGGTCCTGTGGTGGTGTAATAAGTCTAGCAGTGAAGTAAGGCCAATCTTAGTGCTCACAAGTCATTAAGAAATCTAGACAAGAAGCATATCATAGTATTCATAAGAATCTATCTATCTTATTTATTCCTTATCATTTTTATTTAAGCTATCACATCTATTTTTGTATTGTTAAGTTTGATTAAACATTCAACTTATTCTTAAGCAATTGCTTGATACACTTGAACACAATGCCAAACAAGTGACAGATTGTTAGTAAAACAAACTTTCTCAGTTTATTCATAGATCATCATCAGAATCAACTCCAACTTAAAAACAGAAAACATTCTAAAATATGATTTCGACTACAACGTTTGAAATAGTTAATACCAATATAAATGTCACAAAATTAAAATAAATATAAAATACAGAGGGGGAAAGAGTAATAGTATGGAGAGCAACACAGTGTATGTGGTATAAACCAGTAAGAACTTTAAACAGCAGTTCTATAAACACTAATACAAAGCTTGTAAGTGTACAAGTATAAATAATACAGTGCTTGCATATTTCACTAATGCTGAAGACACTGAATGGAATGATGCTAAGGTAATCAGGAGCATCAGATCACCTGCATATGAAGCATAGTGATTTAGCATCCTTCATTTTCAAATATGATTCCTTTAATTGATTTCTAAAATTTCATCAGATGGTGATTAAGTTTAAAAATTAAATTGAAGACAAAGTCTGTTGAAAAAGGAATCACCATTTATTCACTTTCAATTTTCCAGAATACAAACTTTTGACATCCAACCTTTCATTGTAGGCTACTTTGCCATCAAAGTTAAAACTTCCTTTAAAAACAAATAAAAAATGTCTAATTAAAAACACAGCTGCCCCCTGGTGATGAATCTTTGCAGAATAATTTCAATTAATTTCTAGAATTTTGTTGGATGATAATTAAGTTTAGAAATTAAATTGAAGACAAAAATTCCTTTAGTTTTTGCCTGTGTATTTAATGTTCTCAGTAATTGCAACTGCATGGAATTGCATGGATGTCAAATTGCTCCCGACTGCATGGAAATTCATCATATCTAACTCTTTAAAGTCTTCACCATTTTAATCATTCCAACCTTGAATTTATTCTCTATTTTTATGTTGATAATCATTATAAGTAATGTCTATATTTTCCTCTAATTTAAATTTATTTTTATGGCATTTATAATATGGCTTTGATATTACCCATTTTGAACCTTAGAGAGTTTGAATTATGTTTTGAAATGTTTTCAGTATTTAAATTGAAGTTGATTCAGATGATGGTCTGTGAGCAGACTGAAAACATTTCAGTTTTAATAATCTGTTGCTTGTTTGATGTTGTATTTAAGTTTAAATTTCCACATTTATAACTTACAAAAAACATCATCCAAGTGTCCTCCTCCAATTTAGCTAATTCTTGTATACATTATAAAGCATTAAAAATTACAAGATATTTATTTTTTTATATCAATGATAAAATATTTCCAGGGGATAAAATCCACCTTAAAATGAGGTATGTCAAACAATGATTTTACAGTTTTATTACATAAACACTTATGATTTGACTGAAATCAATATAAAACAAACATGAAGCAACATGTCCGCCTTACAATATTTGAAAAATATTTTTATCAATATTTTGGAAATTATACTGTAGATTAAAAGATTAAAATTAAATTGGAGATGTCGCACCTCTTATGCTACAACTTATTATTTCAATTCAAAGGCACAACGTACATGCAATCTAGGGGTGTACCGATGGGGAGCCCTGTTGCAGGGGACTTATGCGAATTAGTAATATGTCAATTATTAAAATTAAAGTTATGTGTTTTTGCTTTTTTATCAAAAAGATGTAAACCTCCTAAATCATATTTTGTTCAATTCAACTGTTATATAAATTAAATTATATAACAATTGAAAATGCTAAAATAGGCCCAATAGTTAATGCACATTGCAGCATACATATCCCATAACCTTTTTTAGTGCAGTGAACTAAATAGTCAACAAATTATTTACTGATTAAAAAGTCTTAATATTTTGTTATTTTGTAAACTTTAAGACTTTTTAAAATCTAAATAATTTGTTGTATTTAGTTTATAATACAGTCAACTTTCATTAACACAAATCACTATAGAACAGCAGTTAGTTCACTTTATCAAAAATTTGTATTAATGATTTTCAGGATTAAGGTCAAGGTTGTATAATTTAAAGAGTTAAGACTTAATAGGCGATTGAAATCTCTAAATTAATATTTTGAATTAATTTATTATTATTTAATAAATTTATTAATTTATTAAATAAAATTAAGTTTATTTGCAAAAACAAATCAATGTTATAAATAATTTTATAAACAAATAAAATGAAGAGATAGTATCTGCCATTTAAGTGTGGAGCAGTATATCAGAGTTGTTAAACAAAACAAAGCTAAAAGAAACTGCAATTTCTTTCTGCTGAAGATTATTTTAAAAAGTAGAAAATATGTTTTGGAGCCAAAAGAGTAAAAAGGGAACCAAACCTGGCATCACTGTATGCACTCCCCAATATGCAAACTAACACGTTTGCATGGAACCGCATCCATTTAAATCAGTGAGCATCCTATTTTCTGAATATAGTAGAATAGTCTTCTAAAACTAGATGTTTGAATTGCTCTGCAATCAGAGGAAAAAAATCTATTCTACTCAAAATGGAACATTTATTACATTTCCACTTTTTATTGGTCACATCAAAAAGTGTAAAAAAAAAGCAGTCATTATTGGAAATAGGGTTATTTCTTGGGAATTGTAAAGATAATTTACAGTTCAGTTTAACAAATTCTGGTAGCATTTTTGTTTGCTTTATCACATGAAAATTTAATGTTGTGAGACAAGGGTATTTTTCCAGGGCAATGGCAAACTTCACTTAAACATAGGAATTTGCTTTATTAGTGTTCATTTTAAGGTGAGTCAACTGTATTATAACAATTTGTTATTATAATTTGTTATGAAAGTATATATTTTTAATATAATTAACTACTTGATAAATACATTCAAATTATGTCAGTTTACCCAACTTCACTGCCTGTAACCAGTGTTCTTCTTCTCCAATGCAGAGGACTTTGCAAATGTTTTCGAACCTAATGTGGTTCTTCTTCAGTTGCTATGAAATTCCCTATATAAATTCGAATTTCCAGTCTAGAATTAACCATTGCTTTGGAAAATCTTTCTGGAACATTGTCACGTGTAGGGAATTCGATCCCGTTCCTTATTTCTAATCCCGGGATTTCGGGATTATACTTATTCAATCCCAGGATCATTTCGGTATTGAGGGTTAATAAAAAATAAGAAAATCTTACAGAAATCAAAAATCAAAATTTAGACAAAAATCAACGTATTTTATGATATACACCTAGTTAATTTAATCACTCTAACTAATCAGACTTAGAGTCAGACTAACCAGACTTAAAATCACTGTTTCATGTTAAATTTATTCTTTTTTAAGCATCACTGAGATCTCTTTAAACTCACATAAATTGAAAAAACCTTTATGTAACAAACTATGCAAATAAAC